GGCTCCTTCCCCACCAGCGAGGTGACATTCCATGTCCCCAGGGCTAGTCTCCGTGTCCAGAGATCGGGCTGTCGGGGCCCCTGCCTTCGACTGCTGCCCAATCCACTATGCACCGGCCCCTTACGGATCCTCCTGCAGGTCGTGGTCCCACAGGAGGACGTCCCCACGTCACTCGTTCGGGCTAAGCCCGGCCGGGCCCCGTGGGGGGAGGCCTGGCCACCAGGTGCTCGCATTCGAGCCCCAACCCCGGGCCTGGCTCCAGGGTGGGGCCCCGGCTGCGCCATGCCGGGCGACGTCACGGTCCTTGATTTTAATCTATTCATAAAGGGCTTTTGAACCACTCTTAGTCTGACCCGTCACCCAGGACCTGTTTGCCTTGGGAGACCCTACCAGGGACATATAGCCCCCTACAACATAGCTCCTAGGATCACTCGGCTACTCAAACCCCTCCACCTCAATAAGGTGGCGGTTCAAGGAGGAGACATATAAGCTAGTCACCTTGAAAATAAACGTAATGCCCTGCAATGCTTCACTTATATTTTCACAAACTAAACAGATGCTAGCAGGCCATTCTGTCTCAGAGACCATTCATTCTTAATGAATTGTGGATGCATAATGGGCATAATAAATCAAATTTAAAGCAACTAACAGCTGTGAAAGCCATGGGTATCATCTGTTTGGTTTGTGATGGTAAACAAATTCATGGACTTACTGCAAATGTGATGAGCCGCTCTAATTTTTAGTCTTTGCTTCAGCAACATTTTCAGGAAAAAATAACAGTTTTAAAATGATCAGGTATTGTAGCAGCTGTTTTCCATCATGCTTACAAAAAGGGAATGAGAAACCAAATGATGTTTACTTGATGATTTTTTTAACATAAGCTTCTAAAAATGTCCAGCAAGATGCTGCTGACTTCAGTACCATGTTTCTTTTGTCCCTTTATGCTATGGAAGGTGAGGTTCAGTCTACTGATTGTGTCTTTTCTATTCTTTCAGTTTTTTTATCCCATCTGCAATTTGAATATCTGCTGCAATGAGCTTGATATTGTACAGGCATTAACTTGATAGTACATGAAATCCACAAGGGACAGAGAGAGAGAGAGGGAAAAACAGAATTCAAGACAGGCAAAAGGAAGGTCTTCCTCATTCAATATCGCTAATTGCTAGCAACGATGACATCACTGCTAATGTGGATTGATAAATGTCATGGTAACCCCCTCTGTCATGCAGGTGAGTGTGCCCCAAACGGAAGCATCTGCAGCAGATAACATGATCTCTGAAAGCAACGAACCTGCAAAGGTGGTCCTAACTTTTTTTTATTAATCCATCCAGCCTTTCATCTATTCATGACACTTTTTATCTATCGTTTCCTTCATGCCTTTGTTTTCCCACTTGCAGCTTTAAATGTCATTTTATTACTGTAGCCATTCATTCTTTGACTATTCATGTGTACCTGTTCCCTCTTTCACACATTTCTTTGTCAACAGTTGAACATCTTCCTCATCTGTTTTTTCCCTAAACTTTGATTTATTAGTTTATTTTCAGTTATGGTAGTAAATTGTTTTTTTCATTTATGTTCAATGATCATCTTATGTTTTTGTTTTTGTCCCCATGTGTTTGTTGTGTATGTGTGTGCACCTCATTGTGGGTTGTGTATACACACGTGTGTGTGTGTGTGTGAATGTGCGTGTGTATAGACAACAGAAGTTGAAATTGAAGAAACTGTTGTCATCCAAGAGGTTTCCAAAGCAACCAAACCTGGATTTGTGACAATTACAAGCAGCTCCCCTGTTGGCCCACCAGCAGAGCAGGAAACAAGAAAACAGGAAATGAAGGTTGAAGAGGAAGTAGTGATAGCCGTGGAAGAAAAGGTGGTGAAGCAGGAGAGTGTTTCATCTGAGAGCGAGAGTGAAGACGAAGCTGAGTACCACCCAAATGTCCCAATCTCCATCTCTCATACACAAATATCAGAGGTGGAAGAGGAGGAAGAGCAGCAGGAGAAAGAGGAGGATGAGGTGGCGGAGCATGACGTGTCAGTTCCAGGTGCTCTTACACTTCCTGTAGCAGGCCAACCTGCAAAAGAAGCCAGTGAAGAGATAGAGGAGTCCAGGACAGAGGATGCAGAGGCTGAAAAGAAGATGACTTCAGCGGATGAGAAAGAAAGGGAGCACAAGGCAGAAGAGAGCACAGATGATCCTTTGATGACACCCGAGGAAGCTCCCAGCAGTGTCTCCCTGCCTGAGGAGCCGGTGGCTGAGTTGGTGTCCTCAGCAGAGGAAGAAGAGGAGCATAAAATGAACGGAGAGTCCTCTCTGGTTGAAGAGGAGCCGCAGCCACAGGTTATTTGTTGCTCTGAGGTAAAGTCATCACTGGGCTGCCTGTGGAGCTTCCCTGGGCTTTGATTCCTTCCTGTCAACTATAGAAGCACCCACACTTTTTCCTTCCTGCTTACCACAGCACCGTTTTCCTTTCCTGCCTGTATGAATATTTAAGCCTCATGTACATCGTCACACTCATCTTCTGTGAAAACTCTCAAGGCCTAAAATGAAACCTTGTGTAGTTAAAACTGACAATTCACCACCATTGTTTTGGTGTGTTTGTGTGAAATTACCACCCCTTACATCATTCTAGTCTTCACTCTGTTTTCATCATATTCATATATTTTATCTTCTCTGCTGTCTACCATCATTATACTTCACACTGTTATCAACATGGCAGATCCACTCCTGCCCACATAGTGTAGTGTGTTGCTGTTACTCTGCATTGTGTTTTAGTGTTATGAAGTAAATGGTGCCTAAGTGGGAATTCATGATGCTTTTAGGCGTATATTTGCTTTTTGCTCTGCATGCCGCGTTTCACCTTTGGTTTGCATGTTTGTTTGTCCTCCATGTGTTTGGCAGTGATGCTTCTCTTTTTCTGTTGAAGTTTAATTGGCTTGTCTCGGTCACCATGGTTACAGCATTGTGAAAATCATCATTGCCGACCACTTTGAAAACACCAGTCGCTCATCTGAATGTCATCTTTGCATGTTGTTTTCATTTCAGCTGGCCACTTGTTTGCCAGTCATGAGTATTGCTTGTTTTATTGCCGTATGTCTTGCGTGTTTTTCGGTGTCATATTTCAGGCTGCATGCTGAAGTCAAAGTTGTTTCTTTAGTTGTGCTGCTGTTGTAGCTGCTGCTCTGACATTGCATTACGTAGAAGTTGTCATGTTCTTCATTCTGTGGTGTTGACGTGCATGAGTCTGGGGGCACTTGCTTCCTTGCATGAGGTTTGCTGCATTCACTCGCATGTTATGTTGCACATAACATGCACAATTGCTGCTGTTTACAACTGTACAATATGTAGCATAACTGAATCAAATCCCATTTAATGCAGTAAATTCTAATGTAATTGCAAACTGTAGTTAATTTGATGGCAAATAATCACATTTGCTGTTTTCAAATTTTCTCTGATAGCTCCACAAAAGTATTCTATATATGAATTGAATCAAATGAATCGGTTTCTAGATGCGGACATTCTTTGTTTCCCTAACTGTCTCTGGTTTAACATATTAACTGTCTTCCCTCCTTTCCTCACTCCTCTCTGTCCTCCCTCCCCAGCCACCTGTGGTAAAGACAGAAATGGTGACTATATCAGACACGTTTGCAGCCCAGAAAACAGAGATAGCTACAAAAGAAGTGCCCATCGTACATACGGAAACCAAGACCATCACATATGAAGCCGCTCAGGTGCACGCCTAAGAAACACAGGGAGCCTTTTGTTTGTTTGTTTTTTTCTTACATGTGTTAGCATTCAGGATTCATATTGTGTTTGTGCTTTTTATACCTTATTAGTAGCCATGTGTGTTCTCTGTG